AGGGGAAGGCCCTCTATGAGATGGATTGATTCAGTTACTGGGGTAATCGGGATGGGTGTGTCAGAGGCAGTGCAATTCGCACAGGATAGAGCAGGGTTTAGGGCTGTTGTACATAGGGTCGCTATGAGTCGCTTGGCGATTCGACGGCACATAACAACAACAACAACATATGGTTCTAAAGAGCCATAAATGACTTCTACTGTTGGTTACTGTTGAAAATGGTAATGCACAGATGCTAGGAAATCTGCCCAAGTGTACAGACAGTAGATGAAGGACTGATATAACCCAAACAGCCTAACTGCAGAGCACATACTCTGACTCACTGAATAACTTGCTGTATTCAGAAATTGTGTGATATTACAAATATTTATTTGGCTATTAATTGTTTTTCATATAGTCATTGAAAAGAAAGTTTGCCTATTATTGAAGCATCACAACCTTTAAATCAGATATGGAAATTATTTCAATGGCAGAATATCCTTGCATTAGCAGTTCTGTGTTCTGCATATTCTGGAATCTTCTTAGCTAGAGTTCTCTTTCATGAGAAGAAATGGAGATAATCAACTGTATATGTACATATGTTAGGATAAAAATATTAAGAAAAATAAAAGAAGGGTTGTTTTGTTGTAATCATACCAATAAACACTCTTCTTGATGTCCTCATTACCTGTTTTTACAAGTATATGAAAGACTACTAAAAATTTATATCTTAAGAAATAATATTTGGAAATTCTTGAAGAATCAAAATAGGGGATTGCATACCAATGAAGGAATTTTTCTTTTACTTTTCAAAGAGAAGAGCAAACTTGGGGGAGGGGTGGGCAGGGAGAAAAATGCATCAATGAATGAATGTTTATTAAAATTAATAAAATAATTTTTTAAAAAAGAAAATATCAGGATAGGATTGTCATTTTTTTCATAAAATAAAGTGTGTATGAATGGATGATTGGAAAACCAATTTATTCTGTAAAGTTTCATTCAACTTACAAGAAAACATTTTTAAAGGAGTTATATTAGCTTAAAAAGAAGTTTTCGACACAAAAAGTTCATTTCTTAAATATTTCTATCCCTTGTTTAAACTTTGCTTTCGTTATTAATTTGTACAACAAACTTTGTGTAGAGTTTCAAGAGAGTTATATCTCAGAAAAACATCTATAAAATATTTTAACGTATAAAATGTGGGAAACAGTTTAGAAGTATTCAAATTTATAAGTTATACAGTAAATTAAATATTTTAGTAATACTGTAT